TAGGCATCATACTGATTATGTGGCTTGAATGAAAACTGCGTATGGTGGACTACTAAGCTTTCGGTTTTGTAATGGTTGCCTCAACAGTGCCAGATTCGTTTGAATTAAAAACGCAGTTCTTAAAAGAGGGAGCGATCAAACGTGTTGTTGTCGGCGTGCGTTGATGCTCTAGGACAGTACTACCATTCCTTAGTTGTAATAGATGACTAGCACAAAAGCCAGCACTGAGCCCAAGCACCTTTTGAACTGCAGACGTCTGGATCTAAATGTACTTGAAAACGTTCCCGGAATTGAAAACATATTTTCTTTAGGACAATTCGTTTGCATTGTTACAAAGGCGCAATGCACTACCCCTCTTTGCACCTCTGTTTAGAACAAAAGTTCATTGTCCCTACCTCACTAACTCCTCAGCCCATTAAAGCCTTGACGTTCTCATCTCAAATCAGACGGCAGCAAGTAAGAGACAGAAATGTGGCCATAACCAGTAACGAAGTATTTGTACTTAACCAAAAGTACTTTTCATGGTAACTACCTTATTGCGCATAAAAGAAAACCAGCGGAACGTTACATAGGAATCCGGAGAACTGAGAATTCAATCGAGTCCATCTTTTCTTGAACATGTTGCTAATTGTTTGCATATCACTTCTTTGCATTTTTTATGATGTTCATTGCCTGGAGTGGGTTGTCTGGGGTTATGGAGCCTAATTTGCTAGGTATTTAGGTTGATGATCTTATCGGTACGTGTCGGATCAAACTTCACAAGAATGCCTTATATCTGCACTTGGGCGAGCGATAATATCCACCAGCGTTCAGAGATCACTAGACAAAGACCAATTTGTCAAAGCTTCGCACCATTCAGTTTGCTTCATGCTAGACCGAACTGGAAACAAGCTGTCCTGAGTAAAAATGTAGAGTGGCCTAAATTGCAAAACGATACTTCGTAACACTGGAACATGGACTTGGAGCATGAGCGTGTTGGAGCCTGTTGAGTGCTTAGTCTAGACGTACATGCAGACACGCAACCAGCATCCCCTGGTTGTGCACGCAACGGGAGCACGCTTAAATTGACTGCCTCATTTCAACTCACAATCTCACTAGTCTACAGATCGTTTCCACTAGGGGTCATGTCGGGATGGCAGCACTGCTGAAATCAATATTTGCTCACTGATTGATTTTCATATATATATTTCTGCCTCAGGGAATGTTCCTATTGGCCATGAAGGAAGAGTTTGGAGGTTCAAGATTGAGACCTCAGTTCACATCTTGTCCAGGTAATTTGTTCCTTCTTGAAAGTTTTCTCAGGGTTCTTAGGGAAACTAACAAAAGATAGGGCTTCGAAAACATTTAACACTAAATAGAACTACACTAAAGAACAGAGTTATCGCCTGTGGACTTATTCACCGTCGGAGTCCGGAGTTTTCAAGCGAACAAATTTGAAAATTTTGGTGGTAGAATCAAATTATAAATGAGCACTCGAATTGCACAGTAATTTGAACTAAGGGTACAAGAAATCTCCTGCTTTTAACTCAAATACACTAAATGATAGTCAGAGCAACTAAGTTGGTCTCTTGGAGGCACACACAGATGGCTGTGAGCTACACTCCCACCATTTCTTCCCTTGTTCGCTTATAGAAGCGCCTCTGGTGTTATCCAGCTATGTTCTTTGCCATTCTTGCGCCTTTAAAAATTGCGTATTTTGGCAATCAAACAATGTCCTGCTTCCGGGTGAAAGTTACATGTGGCTGCTTTTTATACACACCAGGACCACCAGTGAGGAAAAAAATGATGAAAGCAGAGCAATAAATGCTAAATTTTATTGTAGAAGGTTCCTCCGCGGTTTTCTGAAGTCCTTGAAGAAGAGAGAGAGTTTATGTTACAAGCTTCTACTTCTCTTGTCCTCTTGCAGATTCACTCCGATTTTCTCTGAAATTTCGTATTCCTTCTTTTCGGACCGTTCCGGACGGTAAGTAACGACTCCTCTCCCTACTAGACCTCAGAGTCTACATAATCATCATTTGTGGTTGTGGCGCACAACGCAGAGCCATTTCCATCCGAAAATCATCTCCTGATATCCACATTAGTCTTAATAACTCTGTAGACGAATCGAAATATAAAATCCGTCGATTTCCACTAGGAATCATAGGGTTTGCCTTAATTAAATTACAATTCTTAAGAAGCAACATGTCAAGAAGTCAAGGCAACCAGTGATCCATATTCAGAATGCAATCGATCGGCACGGCGTTTGTGCTCAGAAAACAGAACAACGATTGTGGATCAAACGTTCGAGAATAAAAGGAGGTGAATTTTTAAGCTTTTAAGCCATTGAATAAAATTTTTGGTCCATTTTTTGTCAAAAATTACCAGAGTACCTCGCTTTATTCACAAAAGTCTGAACACTCCCAGTTCTTTTAAAATCAAAGTCAGATTAAAAAGTGAGCCTCAAAGGTAGAAGTGCAGTAAAATTGATACCGAACAGGGGGTTATTTTTAAATGTGGGGATTTCTCTCGTTATTCAAATATATCGTCTTCAATAACGACTCTCAGGCCATGAGGGCATCCTGAATCTTGGGATTTCAAAAGCTTTACATCTAGGAGTAAGTGAGATGACGCTAAAACTAGGCTTAACCGCGCGTCCACAATACGTTCTTCACTTCTGCGCATATGATTTTCCGGTAATCTGCAGTGATTGGCTTTGTTTAAATATGAAATTTCCAGTTTTACCTAAGGGAATCTTCGTATTGAAATCATTTGAACACCTCTTAGGATGATACCGCATCAATGTAGCAAAGTTGACCCACTCAAGGTTATCGAGATGTTCGCTTGCAGGCTTATAAATAGTGCGGTAATGTTCCTTCGAGTTTTAAACACTACTATACCAGCAAAGCACTATGCCTGAAGTTGAGATAAGACAACCGTATACTATGTACACGAATGCAAGTGGTTATCGATTTCGTTGAAATGGTGCCTTAATGCATCCTAGAACCAGAGTCTTCTACGACATCTCATGGCTACCATTTCTTATTTGGCAAATTGACAGAAGTGCCTTTTCCCATCCAGTGAGTCGCCTCTATGTGTTTTAATCAGTAGTCGAGTGGAAGGAGTACGACTTAGTGCAATTTTAGTGAATACCATGTTAAAAAGAGCAGAAACGAAGGTCGAACATGCCTAAAAATAGTCTAGTAACGCAGGCCGGATACATATTCAATGTTTAGTGTAAATATGAAGACCGTCGATTATCCGTATGGTTGTGGCGTTGTAGCTGGATTTCGAGGTGAAGGAAATAGAGCAGCAGCTAACAATCTTCACTGCTACTGAAATAAAAGGCAGTAAGATTATTACAAACAGTTATGGCAACTGACACAATGTGGCCTGCAAGTTTCTTTCGCGAGGCCGTAGAAGAAGATTGACAATATTTCCAACATCAAATTACTTGTTTATTTTTTTGAAAGTAAATAAAAAATAGACAAGTCGGTCATACGCATAATAGCTTTATGGTTTTGTGAGCCACTAGAGGGAAAAAGTTACAACGCACTTTGCTTCCAGGATTTGGAGAATGTGCCTCAAAATCTTACTCCCTCCACGTCAATTACTCGCCTGACATCGAAAATGCCTTCAGCATCTACAGAGGGAAGGGTAAGGCAATTTGACATGCAGAAGGTTCGTGTTCCCTCCGGTCCTACCCACTGAAATGAGCAAGAAGTCACCGCTTCGCACGAGAGGACTTTTCCGCGTTAGATCTATCTGATAACGCGGCTTCGATTGGCTAGACTGACGGGAGGAGGACTCGAGCCACACAGATAACAAGATAGAACTTGAAATGCCGCAACCACTCGAAGCCTGTAGGGGAAAAAGGCACATTATGGAGTTGCTCAGTGTTAACCGCATCTCCTTGCGAATCAATCACACAGCGAGTGGGCTGGCCCAACGACATTGCGGCCCATCCACGGGGGACGCCTGATAAAGATTAGTCAAAACACATCAATGAGACTATGGACCGGATCGCGAACGAGACATGACCGGACCCTGGTTTAAAACAGTTTGTTGTGATTCGCATTGATTCACAGTCGTTAATCCGACCACTCCAGCCTCCGACACAGGGTTCCCCTTTTCGCAGCATGTCGCCAGCTGCGCGGATCCTCAACTCTACCCTAATTAGCACGAACATTTATCCTGGATTATCTCCGCACCTAGGTCTCAACATCTGAGGTATAAATACACACGCGCAAATGCCACCCACGGCGCCAACGTGGTTGAGCTCCGACGTAAACGATTGTATCCACGTCCTCTTCGGTCTTTTTCTTCATGGCGGTATCAGGGATGCGTAATCGGGCCAGATCCAACTCAGTGGCTCCGGCGTGGCTCCAGACCACATTCTGGGGTCCACAAGTTGAATGAACGAGGACCTATAGTGAGGCGACTGCGGGACGTTTTGCGGACAAGCCACCGATACTACACTAAGAATGTCCCCTACATCAAGGAGACGTTGGCCGACTGATGTTTGATCAGTACTCCAAGGCAAGAGCCGGCTGGTACGTGAACGTCTGGCGCCAGGGCTCTACGGCGAGGTCCAGTATGCACCTCACAATGCGTCATTCCAGACGTGGATGACAAGCACACCAGAAGACGACGTCTATGAGACACTCTAGCTAACACCTCGATTCCCTCTGCAAACTACACACCACCTCACCCACAAACAAAAGGACGATCTAGGTGAAATCATGCATTTGTATATAAATTTATTGCTTATCGATGTACTATATGATAACAATAAAGTAGACCAGGGATGCGTGTGTGTGTGTGTGTGGCCTAGATCGGTGGAGGGAAAATTAAATGTGGGGTAAAAATAAATTGTACACGGCACGGAAGAATAAACGAACAACAGGCCCACACAAACATAAATGCGCTCATGGCTACGCAGTAGAAGCGATACCAGGAGAGAGGAGTAAGGTGGAGGGGGGGGGGTGTTCGACTGAGGTAAAATCGATTTACACGGCAAAATTTTAGACATCCTCCTCGTCACTCCTGTCAAGCCAGGGATCTAAGGAGAGCTGCTTTTTGGGACGAAGTCCGGCCTGTGCCGATCGTTGTTGATAACTGGACAGAAGCTCCAGTTCGGACGCAGAAAGGCCCTGAGAAATGCGGATGTCGGTGAAGTCGTCGTTGGTCTCGAGGAAGAGATCCTACAAAAAGCAAGGTATTATACTATGTGTCAGAAAACTTTTGTGCTTCTGACGCCAGACTCATCTACCGTTAGAAAACATTCAATACCCGAAGATCTGTTGTCGGAGACGTTAGCGGTATCCGCCTTATTCAAAACAATTTCTATAGATCCTTTATAGCTTGGTGAAGGGCAATACAGCATCTACTTTTGAACGTGTCTCATAAGTGTTTTAAAGACTCATTGAGCCTGCTCGCCTGCTGTGAAGACGGTAATAATGACGTTTGAGAGAGAGGGGCTTCGAGATCCGAGATGGACCCCAGGACTCGTTAGTCCAGACGCAGACGACAACAACTCCGTGTTTCACCCCTCACAGAAGACTACAAGTATAGGGATCGGCTACTTGAATACCGCATCAGTTGATCGGTAAAAATCGAAAATGAGTCTGTTCTCGAACGCACGACTTCCACAAAGACGATCCCTGTACGACCACAAAAGGCAATAAAATGTTGCGGTGGGGTAAATCTGCACAGACAAGTCTAAAGCCTATTATTCTACACCCGGAAAGCAGCTGTCAATCTAGTGAGAAGTCACGCCACACTGATTTCGATTATTCTTACTTTTTCGTTTGCTAAGTGGAGAAGACAATTCAGCCCGATCGCAACACTCAGCTCCCCGGCCGTCTGCTTTGAGACCTTAGCAGGGAGGGATGTTAGGAGGTCGTTGAACGATGAGGCCGTGAGGGATGACTTGGCGGGGTCACCACTCTCCTCGTCCCCCTGGCCGCTGCTCACTGCCTCCGATGTGCGCGTTTTCTTGGCAGGGCTGACCTGATCCAGAGCGGAGGCGACGCTGAGGAGGCGGTCCTCGAGCATGGCCCAGAGCACGCCCTTGAGGTGCCGCACGTTGATCAGTTTGGCGGACCGTGCGTAGCCGATTTCGAGGCGCGCGATTTGCCGCGGAGGGGCGACCAACTCCACACTGCCATCACCTTCCACTACCGTCGCAGCTGGCGCATTTTCGTTCCCCTAGGAGAAATGAAGGGAAGCACATGCCACGTGACGACCAACATCAACTAGAGGATTCAAGTGTGAGCGTACAAACGGTGGCTCCACTGACGACTTATTAAAGGCTGTGGGTAACTTGGGTCGAATGATTACCTTCCAACTGTCTAGGAAGCAAGGAAAACACTCGTAGCTAAAGTTAATGAATTAAAATAGGGCAGACCCAGTCGAAATTCTGTTCAAAAGCTCTACCGCCTCACATTATCTAGACTTTTGATAGGGCTGGAGAGGATAGTTCTCGCGCGCACACATGCATCAGTTTGGATCAGAAAACGCACCTGGGTGAAGATGCCATCGTAGGGGGCAATGTCATCATCATCGTCGTCGTAGTCGTCGTCTACGTTTTGCAGATGACCCACGTCGTCGGCTTCGCCATCTTGAGGAACTCCTTCAGCGGCATCGGCTGCCTGGCTGTCCAACCAAGGCGGCTATTTGCATGGGAGAAAAATTGACAACTGAGACACACAACATCGGGCCACAAGCCACATTGGAGTCAAAAAAGGACCCAAACCAACTCTTGGGATGCCTAAATTGGGAGTCTTCATTTAAGTTGATGAGAAAAGTAGCGTTCCTAATTGAATTGGTAGCGAGAAGACCGGTTTTAGATATGCACATCACTAACGTGATGGAGAAGATTACTTTTGGGACAAAAGCAGTATTAGGCATAAGAGGTTTACACATCAGAGCTGCAACACATGGGTTAGGACGAGACAACACACAAGGAGCACAATGAGTTTAGACAGCAGACGACACGGGGTTAAAGGATCGGATTGCGGAGACGGAAAAAAAGTGGGACTCTGTGGTGTTCTGCGATTAATCAGTTGGTGAGAGCAGTTGGTATCTACGTTGGTTAAGTAAAATCGATCCAACTACCTTATCGAATGTGCGTCAAGGGGGGAGGCAAAACCCAAACACCCTTTAGTTGATGAATGCCATTCAAACACGACCTGTGCGGGACAAAAATTTAGAGAGACACGTTGAGTTAACCTCTCTGACAGGTCTTTACAGGCATGGTCGGCTTGACACATGTCATATAGCCTCGTGAGCAAGCGCGCTTAACTCGTAGGGTGGAAGAGCATGGTATACACATTGAGCTTTCGCAAGCAAAAATGGTGGGTTCTCAGCGAGGGTACAGTCGTATCGACTTCAGGGGGGGGGGGGGGGGGGGGGGGGGG